CTTAAAAGTATGTTTGGCTGGGGAATTTTGGGAGTTGAAGTCTGCACATCTTAAAGTTGGAGAGCCAAGATGGCGAGGTAGTTAAATGCAGCACTGCAGGCTACTTCAGCTGACTGCAGTTCGGCTGTTCAAATCTCACCGGCTCAGGGTTGACTCAGCCTTCCATCCTTCCGAGATGGGTAAAATGAGGACCCGGTTTGCTGTTGGGGGCAATATGCTGACTCTGTAAACCGCTTAGAGAGGGCTGAAAGCCCTATAAAGCGGTATATAAGTCTAACTACTATTGCTATTGCTAAAGTTGCAAAGATTGAAAAACACTGCTCTAAACCCTTGAACAAGGCTTGGCTCATCCACCTCAGCTTGCTTCTCTTCTTCTTGTGCCATATCTGTCATGGAACGTTGGTGATCATGTTGGCAATCCTATTTTTATCAACAGCCACATGAAAAAGTAATGCTGAGTTTTGTCCAAACCAGTCCCTTAGATTTTTTTGAAGCCATTATATTCTTCTGCCTGAACCTTGTTTGCTTTCAATATTCCCCTGGAGGATTAAGTGAAATATGGTGTGTTTTTCCTGGTGCTGCATCACATGTCCAAAATATTCTAACTCTCGCTTTTTTATGGTTAGCTTGCTAGTAAAGTAAATTCAATCGCTCTTGATAGAAAATTGAGGCAAGAGTCAATGTAGTGACATTTCTGCCTAAAGATCAAGTGGCTTCTTTTTCAACTGAGGGCAAGGATGTTAACTGTTGGGTAAGCAATAAGTTGGCTATTCATTTCTTAAACTTGAACCAGGATTTTTTTTCTATAGAAACAAAATACTAGTTAGTACTATCCCAGCAGTTTGGTGGTTACATGCAGAGATACTTTTGTGGAGCAGATTTGCTTTCTCCAAATGCAGCCCTAGATTCAACAAGGAAATCTATGCATATTTCATCATCTTGAGGAGAAAGACTTCTTAAAATGATTACGTGCTGAATCTAAAAATATGTGAGCTGCTGGCGCATAACTAGAGAAAATATAGCTATTCCTCAACTTACAACCACAATTGAGGCCAACATTCCTGTTGTTAAGTGAGAAATTTGGTAAGTGAATTGCTGCAGTTGTTAAATCAGTAACACGATTGTTCAGCAAATCTGGCTCCCCCCCCCCCATTGACTTTGCTTGACAGTAGTCGCAAAAGGGGATCCCATGACGCCGGGACACTGAAACCATCAGAAATATGAATGAACTGCCAAACATCTGGATTTTGATCATGTGACCATGGCGATGCTGCAATGGTCATAAGTGAGAAAATGGTCATAAGTCACTTTATCAGTGTCATTGTAAGTTGAGGACTATCTGCAATTGTATAGAAAGATAGGAAGAGAAGGAGGAATGGATGCAGCTAACCTTCCCTTACCCTGGGGCACAGAAACCAAGTACACAATGGGGTGAGACTACTGATTGATACTTATCTCCAAGATCCAGGATTTAATCTCTCTGGGCTTGCAGGGAGGGGAGGTTGGAGATCAAAGGCCTTTGTAAGGGAGAGTTATCAGAAAAGGAGACTTACTTGCCTAAGAAAGGGCAGGAAGTAGGTAGCCCACCCCCACTGGTAGATCTTTAGGTCATATGCCTTATACCTCTTGCTGAACAATATTCCCTGATCCTAATCTATATTCCTGAAATACTGTAAAGAGAGCTTGGGATAAATAAGATTATTATTTTTCCCTTCTGGATATTCAACCAATTCCCAGTCTTAGAATTCTCTTGAGACTGCTTTGTGCAACAGGCTAGGATGATTGACTTATCTTAAAACCACCAAAGGGGTGGGGGAACAGTACAACTGTGATGAGTATCTCAAAATGCCTACAAACTCAAAGCCACCAAAAATATCACCATTAATCACATTTGCAGCCCTTTTCTTCCATTAAGTGTGTAGATTGCCTCGTCCTGTCCTTTCAATCACACTCTTAGGAAGACAAACAGTGGCATTGTGTGCCATGCTCTTATCACCGGTTAACTTAGCCCTGGTTTACTTCAGCCAGTAGTTCACATGATGTGCCAAACCATAAAGTAATCAAACCAGATGAGTTTTGCATGACATGACAGGCTTACAGTCAGGTCAGTTTAGAGTTCAGCGTGTTATGGAATATGTTCATTTAATCTGCGTGCTGGACATTTTTAA